AGTAAAGACAGTGGCAGTGACAAGTAATTAATATCATTTCGCCATTTTTTGTAATTTATTTTCAACATAGATTTTAACAATGATGGCAAGCCAGACAATATAACATTTATGATTAAGCGTATCAAGGTGCACAATATGAATGCGATCAGGGATCCAAGTTATCGATTTCCAGGCAATTATGGGGTAGAAAAGTTTCTGGAACTATTTTCAGGTAAGATCAAATTTAAAAAATTTAATAGAGGTATTAAAACATTTGTTTAAATAAATAAAATATTTTTTGAATGCCGTAGACACATTTTTCGTTTAATTTTACTTAAAAATATTCCGTCAAACCAACATTTTATTTCAACAGATGTATTTTAGACATTTTTTCGCCATGCGTAGGCTATGGCTATACTCTGATTAAAATGCAAAAGTGCCTGAAGATAGCGTTACACAGAAGCCGAAATAACGAGCAATTAAAACAAACAAAAAAATATTTAAAATAATAATATCAATAAATTTGAATTATTTAATTTTTCTATACACAGAGGAAGATTACGATGCTTTTTGTCTGGCATACATGTTTACATATCGAGACTTTGAGATGGGTACCTTAGGCTTAGCTTGGACTGGTGACCTAAAAAATGCGGGGGGAGTTTGTGAGAAAAATGGAGTAAGTTTAATAAAAATAAAACTAACTAACACTTTATTTGAAACGTTTTTTATAAAAGAAAATCTCTTGCAAAAACTTAACATTTTCCTCAAAACATTTTTATTTTTTTCTACTTCAGCACTACCGCGGCTCTCTTAAGTCCCTAAACACTGGCATTGTGACACTACTCAATTATGGTAAACATGTTCCTCCGGCTGTATCGCATGTGACATTGGCGCATGAAATTGGACATAATTTTGGTTCACCGGTAAGTTTAGCAACTAGGGAGAGCGAGCGAGTCAAGAAAAAATGTGGAAAAATTAACTCAATTAACTTTCAGTACCAAAATTAACCGTTGACGAAAAAATCTGAAAAAAAAAATTATAAACGTGCTAATTTTTGAATCTTTGATTTCAAAAAGACAATTTTATAAAACTCTTACCGAAAATCGGTACTACTTTAGTCGAAGATATCACATATTAGTTTTGGCCTCGTTTGAAGTCGGTTAAGGCGCGTCGCACAGGGGGCAAAGTTCAGATCACCCTATGAAAACGTCTTAACCGACTCCAATCGGGACCAAGATTTATACATATGTGATTAGTGTGACCGTGGTATTATCGATTGAGGCGGTGAGACTGAAAAACCTCTTTCATTTTATTTTTAAGGATCGCCCTAATGTACACATATACTCACATGTGTTACCATGTTTGGCAAGGCCACGTCCTCAAACGTTATTATTTGTATTAATATTACTTATATAAATATATTATATTATGGAAATCAAATAATTTCTTTAATGAATTAATTTAAAAACCAATAAGCTTATTGCACATTTATTTATTTTATTATTTTTCACTCTCATTTCATAAAACACACTTACATTTCATATTTGTTCCCATTTATGTCCAGCACGATCCGGAACAGTGTACGCCTGGCGGTGAGGATGGTAATTTCATTATGTTTGCCCGCGCCACATCGGGTGATAAAAAGAATAACAACAAATTCTCCCCATGCTCACTTAAATCCATAGAACCGGTGCTAAATGCAAAAGCACGTAGCGCCAAAGGCTGTTTCACCGAGCCGCAGGCATCAATTTGTGGTAACGGTGTTGTTGAGCCGGGCGAACAGTGCGATTGCGGCTGGGAGGAGGATTGCAAGGACACATGTTGTTTCCCAATGTCACGTCATCCGCGCATCGACGAGAAGCCATGCACACTAACACCGCGCGCCATGTGCAGCCCATCACAGGGACCATGCTGCACTGGCGATTGTAAATTGAAATTCGGCGATAAGTGTCGCGATGACAACGGCTGTCGCGATCCGAGCTTCTGTGATGGCCGCACGCCGCAGTGTCCGCCCTCGGTGAATAAGGCAAACAAGACTATTTGCAATAAGGAATTCGTTTGTTATATGGGCGAATGTACGGGAAGTATTTGTTTGGCCTATGGCCTCGAGTCATGCCAGTGCATACCGGGTCCAACCGATGACACAATTAAATCGTGCGAATTATGTTGTAAATTGCCTGGCGAGGGCAATGCATGTCGCAGTTCGTTTGAATGGAATGAGCCACCATTCGATGTGCCGGACATGTTCGCAAAGCCAGGCACACCATGCAACGATTACAATGGGTGAGTGTGAAGCGCATTTTGAGCTTTCTAATGAAGTGTTAATTTTATTTGCTTATATGTTTTCTTGCTTTTAGATATTGTGATGTATTCCAAAAATGTCGCGAAGTTGATCCATCGGGACCGCTGGCAACACTACGTAAATTGCTATTGTCAGAAGAAAGTATTGCAACATTCAAGAAATGGGTGCAACATAATTGGTATACCGTTGTGTTGGCAGCGTTGGGTGTATTTATATTACTGGTAAGTTTCATTTAGTTTTATTGTTTCATATTGGAGGTTTGCTAAGGGAAATAAATAATAATAAATATATACATATACATTAGACTGCATCACTGCCCATACAAAAAAAAAATCGGTGCTATTTTTCCATTGGAATTATAAAATTTATTATAATTTAAGACGTCCACCAAAATATTTCGGAAAAATATAAAGATTTAAGTGAGCTGGACGGATTTGAAAATACTTCTAAAAATGGAATTTTATTTGAATAAAAATAGTTTCTTATAAATTTTTTTTTTGAAAAAATCCCCTCAAATGTCAAAACGGTTTTAGCTTCAAAAAATTGCATGAAAATATAAAAAAAAATTTAAAAAAAAATTTGACCGGAATCGTAATGAGATTTTTGATGCATTTTTTTAACTTTTTTCAAAGATTGGTATAAGAAAAACTTTAATAACACAACCTAAACTCTTCCGATTTAGACTGAGAAGGAATTGGCATATCGATCGCTAGTGAGACATCTAATAGAACGCCATCTATGGCCGACTCGTCAATTGTTTCATTGCTTTCCACCCCCTTGTGGCTTGGAACTCTTTATATATCGCGACGCTCTTTCGGGTCGATAACACAAAGTAGCATCTCTGCTGCTTTTCACTGCTAGATAGATACTGCAATGATCTGGTAATTTAAAGGACCTATGGATTTCCTTTAAACGTATTTTGAGGTTAGGCAGAATATTATCAGTTGTGATTTAAATTCAGTTAAACACTGTAAACCTTTGCAGATTTTATGCCAATCAAATAGTTTTATTTAAATCTAAATTTTACAATACAAGTATATGTACTTAAATTTACGATACTATAACATTTTATCTTATCCGTAAAGATCATGAAGGTTGCGACGAAAATGTTAAATGACGAATATGAAGAGAAAATAGCTATGCAATTGCGCGAAACTAGTAAGTCCGTGATTAATCTAAGGTTCCTCGTAAATTCGCTAGAAGTGTAAAGGGATATTTAGATAAATGTGCTACTTAAAGCTTCATCTCATGCCAGTCATCATCATAAGAGGCTTTTGGGGTCTATGCTAACGCTAATTCTCAGTAATTTATACAAAACAGACTATAATAATTATAATCGAAAACGTAAACGAGTAAGGCGCCTATCACACGATATTTGGGTCGCGATCCTGGATTGTGAAGTGTAGCATTGATGGATCGCGATCAATATCACAAGGTTTCTAAATATTTTTAAATCCATAAAATATGGCGATCCGCATTGATGGTGTGACAGGCGCCTAAGATTACGCTAGGTGCTGTCATGCAATCTCTCGTCATGCGAGCAGTTTTTAACCGACTTCCAAAAAAGGAGGAGGTTATCAGTTCGTCGTAATTTTTTTTTTGTTTTTTTTTTTTTATGTATGTTACCGCATAACTTTGGACCACGTCAACCGATTTCGATAATTCTCGGCATCGGAAAGTTAGTGTCTCAGAGGTGGTCCCATACTAATCTGGTTGAGATACGATCAGTGGATCATGAGATATAAATATATATTTTTTTTTTTTTATATGGGAGTTGAAGTCGGTTTTTTTTGCTATAAATTACTTGTCATTTATGTACTTCGTCGATCAGCAGAAACATTTTAAGTGAGTGCGCTTCTAGTAATTTCAATACTAATCAAAGAGAATCGCATGGTTGAAAATTGCATGCCAGCGCCTGACATATTGATCTATGAAACCACTCTTTCACACTCAAAAACGCGCAATCATGTGCTTTGAGCGCCAATTGATTTAGGCTAGCATTTATGATAAAAGAGAATACATTTTCAAAATACTATGCTATATATGTATCTGATTCACTTCACTTCAAATTTTCACAGATACTCAGCACGAAGCTGCTGGCGAAGCGCTCGAATCTGAAACTAAAATCGGTGACCATAATACACAGCGCCACCACCGAAACCGTGCGTCTACCCGACGACAACAACGGCGTCATCGTGCATACGGCCGTCCGTACAAAAGTTCCGTTCAAGAAAAAAGTACGTGGCGAGCGCAGCAACAAAAGAAAGAGCGCCCACAGGAGCGGCAGTAATGGGAATATACGCGCTGGCAAGGCGAAAGATGGCGGTGGAAAGGTGGCCGCGAAGACCGGAGGCGAGTTGACTGCGAAGTCGGCGCACGCGCATAGTCGAGGCGGAAAGCTGAGCAACGCGGCGGTAACAGCCGGACTGACGTCAGCGGGTGGTGCCAGTGGCGTAAATGATGAAGTCTCGAAACCCTCGCGCACCAAAAAGAATCGCGTGGGTAGCGGTGGTGGTGCGACTGCATTGAAAACTACGCCAGTTGCAACAGCGCTTGGCACACCTTTAGCTACCACAGTTGGTGGCGCTAAACTGGAGAATGAAACGAAGTCGAGGTCGAAGCGCTTCAAGAAGAACAACAAAGAAATCATTGACTATTCGTCACGCAGTGGTGCTGACGCGGCGAGCGTTAGCGGGAATGCGCACACCAATACCTTTGGCAAAGTGCAAAAGTGGTTGTTAGAGTCGCCAATTGTTGTACAGCCACTATCGCATATTGAGCACTCTTCCAAAATACGAAAGGTGATGAGCAAATCGCAGTCCACGCCCGAACGCCTCGTACAGAAATCGCCGCAAAAGTCAAAGTCGGTTACGAATCTTGTCAATGACAAGGTGAAACTGCAGGTAGTCTATAAGCCGCCCTTCAAATTCGCGCTGCGGCTTTCCAAGAATATCAAGGTTAAAACGCACGTAATTGGCGGCGCAGTCAACAAGCCGAAGCGACAGACACGCACTAGTACAAACGCAGCAGCGAATGGTGCGGATGGTAAACGCAAAAGCAGCAATCAAAATAGCGAGGGTAGCAAGAACTCTGGCAGCGGCGGTGGTGAGGAGATGAAGTGCAAGCGCATTGCGCTGCTACTCCGCAACAATAACGAAGACAATCAAATATTAACTTTAAATGAACCGACCTACGAGACGCTAAATCCGAAAACCCTGCCCTCCAAGATGGAGAACCCTTTCTATGAGAATTTGCAATGCAGCGCACAAACTGGCGAAATGCGCGCCGCCAGCGCCGTCAACAACGACGCAGTGACCACCAATAGTGCTTCGACGGCATCAAACGCGAACGGGTCCAACAAATTGAACGCGAGTGTCAGTAAAATCCCAACAGACGCACATACAGCTACTGTTGCTGGTGGCGCGTTACAAAAACAACGCGCACACAACTATAACCGCTCCAATTCATTCTCAACTAACAATCCATTTGCCAGCAGTCATGCAGCAGCGACTAGCGCGCGGAAACTGAGCGAAAGTAATACCATGCAGCAGCAGCAACAGCACGCGCCACCCGCCAGCAATTTGGGACGAAACTTTGGAAGCACACAAAACCTCGGTCAGGCGGCGCAAAATCAAAATCATTTAGCCAAATCGAAGAAGCGTAGCAGTTTAAACTTAAAGTTGAACAGCGCCTCTAAAAACAGCAAAGATCCGCCGGTAGCGGCACGGCGCAGCAATTCAAATATGAATTTACGCAGCCATGCTGCGGCCAGTACATATCAGCCAAGTACCTTCCCAAATGACGCACAAAACTTCGTAGCAACCACAACCACCAACACAGCCACTTCCACATATGCCAGCAGCAATGGCGCCAATGCGACTGCAATAGTCGCTGCGGCTGTGCCTATACCCACAGAGCGGCAGCTGCGGCGCAGCTCCAGCAGTATAGCCTATCAAAATCAGCCAAAATCCAACAGCCAAGGGACAGCCAGCATTGCAAATGCCAGCTCCGCGCTGCCGGCAACTACTTTTACGACGGCGCTCCCTGCCGCGCACACTAGCTTCAGCAACATACCACGTGCCAGCCTCAGTGCCGCGCTCAACAACGGCGCCAACGCCAATGCCAATGCCAACGCCAGCGGTGCCAGCCCGAATTCTGCTGGTGTTCTAGGCAATTTTAATTTTAGTCGCGTAACAGATGCGGACCAACTAGTCGCGGTGGGAAGCTTGTCCAGTCATAGCAGTCAAGGTAGTAGTCACGCAAGCCACCCCAGCCACAACAGTAGCCACAGTAGTCACAGCAACCACCATGCACCAGCACGCCACGAGCACCGACGTAGTCGTAGCAGCGCACATTCCACAACAGCACCGCCATTAGCCACCACTGCCAAGTCAAATGCCACCGCTCCTCCAGAACAACAACAAAAACGTTCCAACTCCATAAGACAGTTGCAGCATAGCTATCATCCGCCGCCGTTACCGAACATTGCAACGTCCAGTAATAGCGGTCAGGGTGAATATGAGCTGCCATCTGATTTGGAAGTACTATTGTCTGATGTGGAAAATAATTTAGTCAGTTAAGGGTTAATAGTTGTAAGCAAAAGGTGTTCGCTTAGCTAATTGGGTAGCGGGGTATTATTGTAAAAGAATTAAGTTATTATTATAGAGTTGTTTTCATGTGAGTTTTCAGCATTTCAGAATGAAAATTAGGCTGACTTCCAAAACGTGTCAATACATTCTTTGGATACTGTTCTACTGCGGTATTGAAACTGTTTGTATACATATACATATACATTGCACATTTTAAATATTCAATATAGCAATGAACCAGTTTTCTGAATTTTCCATTTTTTAAACACCAATGATAACCAATAACAAACGAAGCATCAACTTTGTTTCTGATGCGCGGATTGCTCTAGCGATGCGTTTCGACTACATTTCAGATGCGTTTTGGAAAAGTATATATTGTCAATATTTTGTAGTTCGGCGTTATGGAAAATTATACTTTGTATGTATGCAAAGCAATTGACGTTTTGGAAGTCAGCCTTTTTATTGCAACTAAATATTTACGTTTGACCTCCATTCACAAACGATTTGTATTCTTTAAATATGAAATTTTTTAAACTAAATAATATCTCTATTGCCTTAAAACTTAGACGTTGTAAGTTTGACACTCATTCCATGTTTTTTTTCATTTACGAGTATTCGATGCTTTTCTACATTTGGCGCTCACAATGTTCATGCTGTTCTGTCCCTTACCGCCGCGAAAAGGTTTTGCCCTTCCATTTACCATTAGTTTTGAGTTAATTTTCCTCTCCGAGGTTGTTGAGATCTTTAACTGCCATACCTAAACAAAAGCATTGGGCGGAGCGTTTTTTGACGCCTAGCGTTAACGCCGAACAAGAAAAAATACGAAAATGCCAACTTCACCGCTTTCTGCAGCCAATTTCACTTCCTACCGCCCTGTCCAATTGTATGAGCATGAGAAATGAAAGAGTGAAGGAGCTTTTTTCTATATGTAGACAGCTCTTGCTGAGTGAAAACTAGGGCATTAGTGACCGCAAGGACTATACGGTGGAGAATGATTAGCTTTACAAACCCACAGTTCTGAAATCTTGTGTGTGTTTTGCCGTGTCCATTCGTACGACATTCATTAAAATTTAATATAAAAATATAGCATACTCTACAACAAAAAACATGTAAATCCGATTTTAAAATTTTATAAAACTTAAAACAAATCTCAACAAAGGGATGCGTTTTGACCAGCTTAAGTTAAAAATATTTGCGATCCCGTACGAGCCCGGACTAGTCAAAAGCAGTCATCTGGAAATCGATCCCGTACTCGGTTCTCTGACAACTGAGAGGACAAAAAATAGAGTAAACACGGTTATCTCTCTGTCAGAAGTTACCAGTTTTAGTCCGGAGATTGTTTGCTGGTAAATTCTGGTAAATTGTTTAAGTGGATTCTAATGAATTTGGAGTACTTTTGGTTATTCGGATGTGTGAGCTGAATTTGTTTACATACAAAATAAGCAAAAATTTGCAACCAAAATTTGGAGGTTATCTTGAAGTTGTCAAAAGTTACCATTTTTTACAAGAAAGCGATCCCGTACTTTTCAGTGTTGCTCTCTCGCTCTGAGCGAATTTTTATTTTTTTACGCGATTGGACGTGATATTTTTAGTAAAATTTCGGGTATACAATTTTGTAGTCCATTAAAATTTTGTCGAGCACTATTTGTATGGAAGAAAATGCCAATACCAATGTCAACAAAAAAAAAAATACCAAACATCAACGGTATTATGTACACACTTGAAACTTGCACTTTATATACTAAAATTTAATGGGCTTTAAAACTGCAAACCCAAAATTTTTCTACAAATTTTATCAACTTATTCACTGGTGGTTCTTAGAATAGCGCACCACTTTTTTGACTTTTTTTAAATTTGCATAAAATCCTATCTATCTTGACCATCATATTAACGGGCTCGGTATAAGTAAATTTGCGAGAAGAACGTCTTTGCCCATTCGAAAGGGACTAAATATCTATAGCTGTTCCACAATTTTTTCAAATGTTTCAAAAATCTAAAAAGCTGCATTGACCATAGACCTGAAGTGATTCGTTTGATATGGACTTTCTTTAATGTCATTTTTTATGAGCACCTCGTAGGTCCCGAAACGTCTAGATACTGAAAACAAGCATTCCACGCAATTCAAGTAGACTGGCCTAATGGCAGGCAGCCTCTAATGCACCACACTATCTTGCTTTTAGCGAAACTGTCCGTCGAAATATATTTTTGCATTACTAATAATGAGTGAAAAATTAAAATCTACTATGTCTGTATAATAAATATTTTTGTGATTGTAATTTATATTTGCATTCCAGTGAATATTGTTATTAATTAAGCATAAAAGGAATAACTACTTGTAATAATAGTTTTAAGTAATACTTTTGTAAGTACATAAGCATAATGAAAATACGCAATTACATGCATGCACGTACATACACATACATGTAGACTTACAAAAATAAATAAATAATTAAATATGCAATACAAAAGTCAGACATTATATTTTTGCAGCCGGTTTCATGAAAGTATTTTAAGTGGAAAATTTTATATTTTAAGTTTTAATTTTCAATTTATTTTCATTTAAATGGCTTTGATAGTTCATTGAATTTATAACTAAATGAAATCTTTTATTTGCCGATTGGAGAGAAAAGATATTAAATTTTTTTTTTTTTTACTTAAGTGATAACTTATAAAAAACATAAATCAAATTTCCATTCGAAAATCTCTTTGAACTGGCTGTTAGGTTTGTAAACCTTATTTATTTTTGGTCTAGATACTTACTTGATTTTCATTTTTAATGGCCTTTACCTAAATATTTATTAAATAGTTGAAATAAACCGAAATAGTTCTGACTTATGAATCCTTGTGTCAATTAAAATTAAAAAATTAAATTAAAAATATTAAAATGCGTAATGCAAAAAATGGCAGCAGCTGATATGTAGTGTATGTGTAGTACTTGCTAGTTTTAAGTATGTATTTTTAATATTGCGTTGTGTATGTACTAAATATGTATGTATTTATGTATATGTAAAATGTATATGGTATATGTTGATAAGTAAAAAAAAATATTATAAAAGTGTTTTAGCAAACATCTTTGTTTAGAGCAACACAGCAATAATGGTGAAATGTATGTACTTAATTAATGCTTTCAATGTTATTATTGTAAAATGTATGTAAATTTTTGCAAATAATTTGTAAATATCTACGAGTGAAATTTACGTATTTACATAAAAAAAAATCTCGAAGACGAATATGTATGTCCTAATCATTTTATGTCTGTGAAACATTTTAAATATTATTAATTAGTTACGATTTAAAAAGAAAAAAAATCATTTAACTTACAGTTATGTAGTTAAACTTAATTAACACGATAACTAACCTAACTAAAGTACGTACACACGTACACACACATACAACATGTACATGTAAAATATCTTAACACACAAAACAAAAACATATATAGAATAAATTAATTTTAAGGCCAACTCTGAACAAACGAAAAACCACAACAACTAAAATATACATATAAATACACATAAATAAATTAAAATTGAAACTAAAATAAATGTTGCCGCCTACCATTTCCATACAACATAGTAAAAAAGTCGTTGAAAAATACTGCGAGAGCTGCAAAAAAAAATGCGAGAGCAATGCATTTTAACAATGGAGGTACTGCTAAATATATAAAAATCTTATAGCTTGTTTCCATCGAAGTGAAAATAAATTGTTTTCCGAGTTAATTTCATTTGAAAGCGCTGTTGTCCACACACGTGCACACGAAAAATTGTTAATTTTAAGCGATGTTTGCTTATTTATTTTGAATTCGATTAAAAACAGAAAACGGAATTAATAGGTTGGTCAATCCATGGCAAACCGTCCATAGGCTGAAATTGACCATTTTTGATTTGCATGAATTTTGGTCAGAACTTTTTTTTATTATATAACATAGTACTACCAAAGAAAAAAAAGGTGATATTTGCGGTTGTGTAACATCTGACATCTAAAAAATCGCAAAAGCAAAAACTTATACAAATATTTGGCCACATTTTTTTTATACCACGTCTAACTGATCTTGAAAGTTCGTGAAATTTTGAAGAAGGTTTTGGTTTCAAGATATCAATTTTTCAATTAGAAAACACATTTAATAAACTTAAAAAATTAGTTAATAAAATTCAATTTTTTTTAACGTAATTTTATTTAGAGTTTACAAAAAAATTGCCAAAACAAGACTAGAATAATTTTGTAACCATAATCGTTATTGGGATATTCAAAAAATTAACTTGCAAAATTCCAGTAATTTTGAATTTTGCTTAACTTTGGAAAAAATATGCCGTTGTATAGGCTATTCAATTATGACAAAGCTTAAGTTTGAAATGGCTGCAAAATTGTGATTTGGTCACGAAAAAGAACTGGCAGCTCAAATATTTTACGAGTCTCGATTTGAGCGAAATTGAGAAAAATTTGTTTTAGTTTCATCAATGCGACTTCGAAGCGTGCTTACTGTGAATTTTTTTATGCACACATAACAACTGATAAACAGAAAAAATAACAATTCAATTAAATATTAGTTAAAAACAAGATGAGACGACTTTTTAGAGCAAATAGTATTTTGAAATTGCCAAAGGATCAGGTTTATAAATTGGTATTGGAATGAAAATCAATTGTGTCAACAGATAAAATTACAAATTGAAGTGAAGAGTTGAAATTGCCTCAACCCTGTGAAAACAATCCTGAAAATTATTTATTGTGAATTATAAATGAGCAAACAAAAGGGAAAACAAGCATCAATAAAAACAAAACAAACTCGACAATTTGGGAGGTGTGGAGACTCCCTATAATAGTGCATTTCCACCAAGCCTTAACTGCAGTTTATGCTTATTGGAATGAGGAGAATACAACTCCAAAACAACCAAAAAAATTACCCTATGTTTGTGTTATTTGCACGTACCTGAGCTCTTAACTGCAGTTATGCTCTTGGTGGAAATGGGCTATAAGACTGTTTCAAAAATACATTGCATATTGGCGTCTAGAAGGTCAATATACATATGTATATAAATGTGAATGTCTGTTTGTCTATTACCTTATAACTTTTGAACCACGACACTGAGTCGCAGGAAACTTTGCGCATTTATTTGTTTTTACCCCGGGAGGGTTATAGGTATGGTTTTATTTGCAAATGTGGTGCCAATTTTGCAATGGGGCGTGGCACCTCCCATAGGCCTGCAAATTTTTAATCAGCTATAACTGGGGGCCATAAGTCACATACAATAGAAATTTGGTATGCAAACATA